ATTTTAGATTTTTCTCACTTTTACACATCAAAATAAGGACTAGAAATTGATGTTGACATGAATATAGTTATTTCCAAGGGAAATGTCCTTATTTCTTGAATATCTGGGAACAAAAGCTAAAGGAGTATATATTATTTTTATATGGCAATAACTTTAATGTGTTATTATTAATTCAGGGTTATAATAAACTCTAGTTGTGTTTTCACTCTATAATTATAATTAGTTAAAAAGTATATCCTCTCATCATTATGTCCGTGATGCTTACATGATGCTCATCATGTCAACATTCAATACATTAGCTCAGTGTCATCCCTTCCCTCCAGTGTTCTTCCAGCTGGCAGTCCTGTACATCCATTTGTCAATGGCAGCTCCTTTTCCTTCTTCATTGGCAATCAGTCTAGCTCTAGTTTGAGAAAAAAAATGATGCAATTGCCATATGATTAAGACCAGAGTTCAAAATTCAAACTCAGCACAGCTTTCCAAAGATCTGGTACTTAAGTTCCGTTCCTATAGCAGCAACTCAACACAAAGCCCACTGCCCTGATCTAAATGTAACCAAAACTTAATGTAAGCTTTCATTTACCTCTCATTTTAAACCATGTCTTGTAGGTTTTGATAAACTATATGTGTTACGAAGCAACTGGAAAAGCTAGGGCACTGTATAATCACTGTCGATGTAAAACAAATGTAGTAACTCTGTCTAAATTGTAAGAGCACATGTTGAACATAGAATCATTTCAAGCAAGCATTTTCTCATGAGCTATTTGATCTTGAAGGCTCAGCATGTTGACATTCAATACATTAGCTCAGTGTCATCCCTTCCCTCCAGTGTTCTTCCAGCTGGCAGTCCTGTACATCCATTTGTCAATGGCAGCTCCTTTTCCTTCTTCATTGGCAATTAGTCTAGCTCAAAAACGTTGGGGCCTGTACCCGACATCTCAGCCTTCCTCCCTCCTTACTGTCCTTGTTGTTGTCCAGTTATTATATCTTCTCACATTCCAATGGGCACCAGATTCATTTTCATAAAAGTGGGTAGTGTGGAAAATCCTTACATGTATAGCATTTTGTTGAAGTGTGCATTGGTTAGAGTTGAGCAATTAGAAAGATTGTCTAGATTCAAAGGCAGTTTTTCTACCAGATGTCTGCTTCTCCTGAGAAGAAAGTCTGCCTCACACAGTTTCATCCCCAGGTCCCAAGGGGTCCAGTGGGGTGTCTGAGCTTGCTTCTTGGGAACAAAGACATCTGGAGTTCTCCCACACTGCCCGTGCTGTGCAGATGTCTGGGAGGCTCTCCTCTGCTGACTTGATGCTTCCATTTCTCATTGTGTCTAGGTCAGTCTGGCTGTTCACTTCGGTATCTCAGCCACCCACCCCTTCTTTCTTCCAACAAGCGCTTAAAGTAGATTCCGTATTGGATGCATATACTTTTTTTCACAATTTTATCAAGAAATCAACAAAGTACTGCAGCATGTTTACTAATGCTGCAAAGACAAGTCCCTCATACAACCCTTTTCCAGTCTCCACACTGCCTCGGCTCCTGCCAGTCTCAGAGACCCTACACTTAGACCTTCCTGTTTTCCACAAGGACTCTGCCTCTTTGGCCCAGTCGCCTGGGTCACCTGAGCTCATGGCTCTCCATCCATAACCAAAGACCTATCTGAGTGCCACCCCCTTGGGAGGAACTCCTAGGAAACTCACACAAATTTTATGGATATAAAACTTACTAGATATAAAATATCTAATGGGTATACATGAATTTATTTCTGCGTATGTTTTTGGTTAACAAAAGAATTTTACATTAACAGCAGCTCCTATCAGGGTACTTAGAAAAAAAGAGAAAAACAACAAATTAGTCATAGACAAAAGGAAGCAGAGAAAGTTGGCAGGAAAGGAATAGAGATATGTGTAATGGAATACTGAAAAGATAAAAGAAGATAGTGTAAAATAACCTAAGGCCTAAGAACCAAAGCATGTGAGGATATATGAGCAAAGAGAAGTACTGAAGAACTGGGATGCTGGGAAGTAGGTGATGGGTGTCAACAACCTAAGTTACAAATTCAGAAAAAGATTTGCAGCAAATATGGCTAGTTATCTATGGGATTCCTTTTTCCTTTTCTTTTGAAATAACAAAATACTTACTTGTTTAGGGCAGAAATTTGATCAGTTCAAAATATTTAAGTTCCTAGATGCCCCCGCTTTGGCTAAGGGGCAGATGTGACACCAATGAGATGCAGGTGAATAGGGTTCTAGAGGCTTTCCTTCCATAGCAGGGGACAAAGCCTCAGAAAGAAAAGCATGTTGCTATTCCCCTCTGCTCTTTCTCCTAATTCCTGCCTGGTGAGTGCTCCTGATGCTGACAGATGCGGTAGCTATCTTGCAGCCACGATGAAGAAAACAGCATGACTAAGGACAGAAGGAGCTGAAAGGGGGATGACACACGATTTCTGATGAAAGCCTTGAGCCACGACATTTTAAAAATGAAACTAGATACCTCTTACTGAAATGATGCAGGGATTTCCAGTTAAATTTCCAGCAAAAGAATGAAAAATGGAAATTAACTATAAATCACTTATTTATGTAAAATAATATTAACATAATTTCTATTTGGGGTTCTGTCTTTGTTGTTGTATTTTAGTAAACCTTAAAATATAGGAGATTTAAAATTTACTTATAAACTGAGTCTGCCAAGTGCTTTCTATTTCTTTGTGTATGGCTTTAAGTTCTTCAGCCTTAAATAGTACTTCACTGTGTGTTTTCAGGAACTTACATCTGTTTGGGGAGGAACTGCTATGTTATAATCCTCTATGACTTTAAGTTCAAGGATATACACACCCCAGCAATCACAGTCTTACAGCCACTAATTCAATTCTTCTTACAGCTCTTGGGGTTTGGGTGTAACCCTTAGGAGCTAGGTTATTAGCTGAATAAGGAACTAACACCTCCAACAATGCTGTTCACTCAGCAGGTTTCTTAAAAAACTCTTTGTTATCCAAGCAACTCCTAAGGATATACACTCAAGATGAGTTATGGAGAATTAATTACTGACTCCTGAGAATCTAAGAATGGGCAGCAGCCCAGGTGTTCTCATCCTTGAATCATGCTGTTTCATAGATGCAACTTACCTTAGGTCAACTTAGTGTTTATTTTTGATAGTGCAACAAGTATAGACTTCAGACATTTTTCCAGTGACTTCCTTTAGGAAATCTGAGTATATATTTGTTAACATTAATATGCGATACGAATAAGCTTTCTAAAATTTGGACAAGTGGAAAAAAGTGGTATTTCTGTTCTTTGAATAAAAAGCAAATGTATTTAAAACATATGCATAATATATCAGTAGGTAAATTTATCAAAAGGAAAAAATGATCAATCCGATTTAAACTACCCATTTTACAACTACAATAGTTTCTTATTCAGAAATTTATTAGGTCAACTTAAGTACTATTTATTACATCAGAACTACCAACACCTTTATTACCCTGTTTGGAAGACCGAACATGGATCAGATGTTAGTTCCACCTTAGATACAGCGAATCATTTCTTTCCATTTTAATAGCTGAAATTTAGAAAGCAAACGGATCCAGAGAGGATATGCCCACAAGCAGGAGATGAACGTGTTCCAAATGGCAGTGTATTTCCAAGGAGACTTACAGGCTTTTTATTCCAAGGATTGGCTCAATACTTCATTACTCAGAAAATGTGTTTGATCAGGCGAGACCTTCAAATTTGAGCTCCTCTGCAGTCAGGGGAATGCTAATGACTGTCTGACAGCTTGTCACAGACATTGGATTTTTTTTTTTCGTAGCATCCCTGGCCAGATTTCCTCTTTTCTGGCAGCTGTGCTGGTGCAGACTGCCAAGAGGCACTATACCCACCATCTTGAGAGGATTCTGTTTCCAGCAAGCCTTCTTTTACTGTCATCTATGTATTACATCTCTATTTCAAGTCTCTCCAGAATTTATAGTCATACTGGGGGTTTAGTTTCAATTTGCATTTGTTTGTTATGTGGCTTTACATGACTTTTTGTCTACTTCATGAATCTGTCTGATCTTCCCAGTAGATCAAAGTACCCAGAGGATCTGATTCTCTTTGACATAGAGAAGCTCCCCAGAGACCATGCCTTTGATTTCATTTATAGCCCTTTAGGATAGTGTTTCCCCTTCAAACTCTCTTGCAGACTGGTAAATGTCCTAAATTATTGAGTGGGGAATAGAAGGAAGGGAGTAGGAAGTGAAACCCAAGACAAGTCACAATACCTGTTAATAAAAGGGAGGGGTTGCTAGGCAGGAAATCTTTGCCACTCTGGTCTTATCTCTTAAAGAACACTACCCAGGATTGCTCATCAATCATTGTCAACTATTTACTTTTACCTTAGGGTAAAATGACCTTATATGCAGGTAGTAGTAATTATTAGAGTAATATATGATACCTAAACAGTATCTGCAGGTGGTAATAACAAATTAGAGTTGTGACAGGGCAGTGCTTCACAAATGTTCCAACTCAAGGTACAATCTCAAACTTGTTCCAGCTAGTACATGCCCAAGTATAGGGGTTAGGGGCTTTGTCTTCTACAACTTCACCATTCCTAAGGTGTTTAGATCCAAGTATCTAATAACTTATTACTCTGGTTTTTAAAAAGGACAGTTGTTCACATGAGAATAATTTCAATAGGGCTGAGATTTTTTGGAGCATGGTAGATGGGCATCACTCCCACCAAGGCTTGCAGGCAAAGAGGAAGTCAGACATTGACATTTCTCAGCATGGGTACATGTGCTGCAAGTCACCTATTGGTCAGTTGTGAGAGCAGGTGCAGGAGAGTGTATATACAAGTCAACGCTGGGAGAGGCATGTATAAGAGCTGAGGGCTTATAGCAAAGCTTGGGCAAAGTAAGGGGTATGGTTGAGCCAGGAAGTCTATGAAAATGAAAAGGCCAGGGTTAGAACCTCAGGCCTCAGATCTTGGTTAAATCCTAAAAACTGCTCATTGTGCTTCTGTTGCAGACAATACATAGGAGTGAATGAGACAGAAAGCGAGACCTTGAGGATGATTAAGAAGAGCAAGTACAACATGGCTGAGACTAAGTGTCCAGGGAGTTGAGAATAAGTGGCCTATTGTCATGTCCTATATAAGTAGAGTATGTGGATGGGAGGCCAAGAACACACCAACAAATAAAATGTTGAATACATCAGTCAAGGGCCTATCGAGATGATCAGGATGCTGGCTATTGGAATGTTTATCCTCCCACCCCACCCCAGAAGAGGACCTTCTTGGCTTGTTCACCGCTGTTTCCCAGCCTGGCACACAGCAGATGCACAATGAATATTCATTAAAATCAATGATTAACTAAACTGGCTAGTATTCCATCTCACTTTCATTACTGGAGAACTGAAGAGCCAGCTAGCCTACAAAAACTCATTCTGGATTTAGAAGCAATAAGAAAACATGCGTTCAAATAAAATCAGAGAATCCTTCTAATGTTTCTTCATGTGTCTCTCTTTTCCCATCCCCAACACCATTTATTTATTTTTCTTGACCTTCAAAGGATCTGTTTTGTCCATGAGTCCCAAAAATAGCCCCCAAAGTGGTTCTCCTCACCTACCCCACCCCACGGATGCTGCATCACATGGTAGGGTGTTACCTTGCTCCTCCATGCAGGGAGCTTTTCTCAGCACCACTAAGGTACCAGGGAAGTGGTAACTGGGAACAATTTTTCCCAATATAGATAAAGCCTGGATTAAAAAGCACGGTGATACATAGGCAAGGGGTAGATGGGGCCTTCCTAGAGGACACGATGTCTTCCTGAATTTAATCCATTAATAATCAACAAAGCAGCCCTACTGATTTAATGCCTAGGCTTTGCTGCCTGACTATATTTAACAAAGCTTTCGAATGGCAGGGTGATTTCCTACAGGAATGCTGAGTTTTTTCCAGGGACAGATGTAGCCTTGGTACATTGTCTGGTTATGTAGAAGTTTTTTTTTGTTTTTTTGTTTTTAACTGCACTTGTGCTGTTCTCCTTTTTTCAGCTCGTAGCTGGAGACCCTTTGCTGCTACCTCAAAACCTTTTTGAAATTAACCAGTAATAAATAAGATCTTTCTCTATAGACAGCTTTTTCCAAAGGAATAAAAGAATTAGAAAATATGGAGGATCCATAGTATGCATGCCTTTGGTTTCCTGAGGTCCCTTAGGTGATATGGAATTCTTTAAAAATGTAGATAGATTTTGATAACATCATAATCAAGATCCTAAGAAATCACTAGCATCCATCAGACTGTAAAGTTTCTGAGCAATTCTCTCCCCAACCCCCATCCTGAGCCTAACATTGTGACTTGCTCACAGCCTCACTGGATAGATAATGGTTAGATAAATGAAAGCATTCATTAATCAATGTGATGTGAAGAATTTGGATAAATGATTCCTATTTCTCTCAGTCTAACAAGGGGAAGAGTAGTCCAATAAACATATCTGTAAGTTTGATAGAATTTGTAAATTCTTTTGAATATTTGGAAATCTGATTTCATTTTTAAGACACACAGAGCCTATTATGATAGAGCAGTGAATTTTATTCAGTTAGGTAATTTTGCGCTTATTTTTAACCAGTTTGTTGTTTTTCTTCTTTCTTGTGGTTTTCACTATAATATTCATGGATCCTATTAACAGTAAAGAAAGTGGCAGATGCCAGGCATGATAGCTCATGCCTGTACCCAGCACACTGGGAGGCTGAAGCAGAATTATTTGAGGCCAGGAGTTCAAGACCAGCCTGGGCAACATAGTGAGACCCTTTTTGTTGGTTTTTTTTTTTTTTTTTTTTTTTTAAGGAGAAAGTGGAGATAATAGGTTACTCCATGGTGAGGCTTGGGATGGTGGTGGGAATGGAGTGGAGGAAGGACTCCCTTCCCAATGACTAGATATGTCTTAATTTGTAAGAGGGCTCTCTCCCTTGTGACTTTCTCTCCTTTACCTATGTCAACTTTGTGTTGGGAGTGTTCAGTACAGTATGTGAATGGAAAATTCAGAAATGAATGTACCAATAGAAATAAAGATACATGTGGGTGTTGCTTTTTCACTTTTTCAATGAAGATCTGATCCTTTGGTGCTTTACTTGGTCCTAATCCCACTTTTCTGTGAGTTGTGGCTGAGGACTTGTCCTTAATTATAAGATTCTGGTTGTTGAAGCTGTTGTTTACGCATGAAGGACTACTCAGAATATCACTGTAATTACACATCTGCCCCTCTGAGTTCTTCAAAAATAGGAACATGACTGATATGTTTGGAAAAGGTTAAAAATATGCTTAGTGCTAAAAGGAAAATGAGCTAAAAATTTCCTGGTATTTTATTATAGTTCTATATTTTATGATGATCTTTATTGCAATAGTAATATCTTGACTTTATAAAATTCATTCATGTTTTAACCCTTGGTGTCCATACTTTTGCTTCTGGGAATATCATGCAGGCTTGATGTAACCATTTTGCTTATAAGAAAAGCAAATTGGGTCAGGCACAGTGGCTCACACCTTTAATCCAAGCACTTTGGGAGGCCAAAGGGGACAGAACACTTGAGTCCAGGAGTTCGAGACCAGCCTGGGCAACATGGTAAAAACCTTGTCTCTACTGAAAATACAAAAATTTGCCAAGTGTGGTGACACACGCTTATAATCCTAGCTACTCAGGAGGCTGAGGCATGATCTTTTGTCAATTTAGTTTACAGGGCCCCAGCCACAGAACCTAGAAGGGTAAAAGAAAAGATCTCCCCTGCAATGCAATAGAAGAGTTTAAAGGATGTGACTCAGGGTAGGTCAGAGATCCACAAGTGGTTCATTTCTGTTGTCAAAATAAGTACAGTGAAAATACCTGTGAAAAGTAATAATTTAGAGACTATTAGTAAATAGTTCTTTGGTATAAGGTCATTTGTCATATTATTTGGCTGGGGAAGGAACTTAGGTCATCCTCAGCTCTGGGATGCCTACACGGCAGGCAGATTGGTGCTTTTTGTAGCCTCACATAAGGCAGACACAAGCAGAGGGCAAAAGATAGAACTCAGCAGGAGAAAGTCTAGTTGACAGAGCAGGAGCATTGCCATCTTGGACAAGCACTGCCATTTTAAAGTTCACCTTGATCAAAAACTGCCTAAATCCAAGGGCATCAGCCTAATGGCTAAGGTCAGCATGACCATAAGCCACAAATGACATCTCTGACCACAAACATTGCAACCATAAGATAAACCCCTCCCGAACCAGAGACATGCCAGCCCCAAGATAACCTCCCCTCCAACCAGAGACATTCCAACCCTGCAATAAACTTCTCCCCCACACAGAAACATTCCAAGCCTGTGGTAAGTTCTTTCACCCTGAACCCTGAAATACTCTTAGACTGTATTTCTTTCCTCTTTAACTCTTACATTTCATGCCAAAACCCATGATGGGTGTCAGATGTAGAGGTTCTCTTGCAACCCAGGAAACAATGGACAGCAGCTGCTCATCCTGCTGGATCCTGAGAGTCTCTGGCCACCCACCCTGTCTTGTCTCTCACTTCACTTTTCAAGCCACTTGCATGAGAAGGACAACTAACCTGAAGGGGACTGCAAGGCTCAGGCTGCGGCTACTCTCCAGTGAGCCCTCAAAACCCTCAGGTCTCAGGAATCCATCTCCAACCACCTGCAACAAGTATTTCGTTCTCTCTTCTCTCCCTCTCTCTTTCCCTTTTTCCCTCTCTCCCTCCCTCTCCCACACACATGCACAGCTCCACTCCAAGAGGCCCTTTGCTGATTCCAACCAGAACATCCAACATCACACACTAATCCAGCTGACTGGTAAGGGCTGCCCTCCCCTGGCTTTCTCATGGTACCTGGGAACTCAGGTCTGCTGTCCCGGCTCAGAGGACCAGTGTGACTAAGCTAGAAGAAATCTTGAGGATGCCTAGTTTCTTCTCAGCTTGACCATCCTCTTTAGAAAGAGGATTCTGGGTCTCTGTCTTTTGTCTGGGGATGCCTAGAACCAAAACAGACATCATCGGCCTCTTCTCACCAGTTCACATAGGTGCCAAACAATCCCACATTCCTACATCCTCTACACTGGGCTGTCTCCTTCATAAACTCCCCAAACTTGCCTTACAGGGAAGCATAAAGCCAAAGCATTTAGCCTTTTCTTGCAACACTGCCTGGTCCCAATACAAATTTTCTTTTTTTTTTTTT